CCATTAAAGGTAAGACAGTGAATCAACTCTCACGTCTATTTCTTTCCCAGTGGCCACAAGTAATCACCCTGAAACTGACTACAAGAACAAAGACTGGGTCTTCATCAATTACACATACAAGCGCTTTGAGGGCCTGACTGCAAGGGGGGCAATACCTTCCTACATGAAAGCAGCAAAATAGTACCCTTGTCACGGAATCCTAAATGGAGCAGAGTTCTTTATACAACCTCATGGTTTTCTTCTCATACTCTTCTGAAAGAGCTTCCAAGAAGTTTATGGAACCACCAATATGTCATAGTCAAGTCTCCTGAAATGTGATAGTAAGAGGATTTTCTTCCATAATGCATCTGAAAACCTACAGAACAAAGACAACTATTTTTACTACGTCAGCCATAAACAGCTGTCCTGCTTCTTCAGAAGCATCATGAGCCAATTTGATAGGTGTTTTAAAAACAATTTTTCCTGAGTTCATCAGAATAAAGGGGAAATACAGCCATCATCCAACATTGTTGAGATTATAATGAATACTCATCAAATATCAGCCAATTCCTTGACTTTGTGACGCACTGTCGGCCAAGCCCACCAAGTATTTTTTTTTTCTTTATAGCTAACAGTTCCACTAAGGAAATAAAGCAATAATGAAAGTTTCAGCAGCCAGCATTCTGGCTGAGGGAAATGATCTACCATCCTGAGGGATGGTGATGGTAATTTGTCCCCATACCTCGGCCTCGGGCAAGTGGCTTTTTATAGCTTCCATTCATGGTGCACTTTATTTATGGTACTAAGATAAAGACCCTCAACCCATTGATTTATCTCCTCCCTCCCACCCATCTGATATACTCATGCTGCTTTTCTGATTGCCGACAGGGGTGGGGGATACCAGTCCATTGTTGCTCTTAGAAGGCCCAAAAAAGCCACTGGGCATTGCCAAGGGATCCCAGATCATGTGGAAAACCCTGACTTTCTCTTCACGGCTGTTATCAGAAAATCCTAAAACAGATGCTGCCGTGGACCAGCTACACCTGCAAGTGCTACCAACAAGAGTTTAATTTGTTCCTGGGAACACAGAAAGGAGGAACCCTCTTGGCTAAGGTGCTGCTCCTGCAAGGTCTCTAGAACCTCCTTGGAAGTGGTAAAGGAACCAACCCAACAGAAAGTGTGGAGCCAGCTGACAAGTCCTTGTAGAGTTCACTCCTCAATCCTTGGTGCAACTGTGTTTTGTCTTCTCTTTTGGTATTCCTTCTCTCCCAACTTTAAGTAGCCATTTTGCCTTGGAATCATGATTACAAATTTTCCTTTGCAGATGCCTTCCTGGGGGGTACTCCCCCTCACCCTAAAGGGTTGCCTGCTGACCGGGCCACTCCATTGTGGTGTTCTCTCATGAGAGACCCTTTGAATTTTAGCACAAAGTGCCTTCTTTTTCACAGCTGCCACTACCTTTAGAGGAATTTTGTCAGAAAAAATGTGGAGGCTTCATATTAATGCATTATTACTTTTCTTTTCTTTTCTTTTTTTTTTTTTTTAAGTTTGGTAACTCTTAAAGCATCATTTGCACCTGTGTGGTAACTGCCTGTTGCAGAGCATCATGGCCGTCATGGCCAAGCTACAACTGGGAAACTGCTCTCTGCCAGTCTGTGGCTGTGGAGATCAGCTTTGAAAGCAAAGTATGTCCTAGTGTAGCCGTTGAGAAGAGAAAAATGGAGTATCAGAGTTACAGTCGTATGTGAAACGGGGCTTTGGGTTTTAACATCTTAGAAGATGTTTTAGATTCATCTAAAAAGAAGAGTGTTAGGGAAGTCTTAACTCTGGATGAAGGTAATGTGTTTGCCCCTTAATCTTTCATTCATAGCCTCTTAGTGAAAAGGAAGTAAATGAGAAACTTTTGTGTAACTTTGTAGTCTCTTTGTATTACCAAATAGTTGGGGCCTTGACCCCCGTGTGTTCTGCAAGAGTGTGGGGGGTAAGTGTGGGTAAAGAGATGTCACGAGAGCAGTGGTAGAGTCTGTGTTGGGGAGTGGTAGTGAATGATTTGTTTTAGGGGGAAAATGCCCACATTTTAACTTTGAAACTTCTGAATAAACTGTGTGAAAACAGTAGTGGAAATCTGTGATGTGTTTTAAAGCAAATGTGGCTTGTAATTCCAAGAGGCAGAGTGCTGGTGGCTTCTTTTGTACCCCTTTGTCCATATATTTTCAGAATATCTTATTTCAAATGTTAATTTCAAAACTGCATTGCCATCTTCATGCAAAGTGCTTTCTGTCTCAGGGAAGCTGGGACTGGTGTTTTTGTTCACAGGGAGCTAGTCTTCTGAATTGGTGTCCAGATGAAGTGACTGTTGGCCCCACTACACATACTTTTTCTGGTTCAGTGTTACTGGATGGTGGGTCTTCCACTTGCAGTAAGGCCAAAGACACCTGCTGACAAAGTGCTGTCAACTGGTGGACCTTTTAAACAGCTGTTTACAGCCCCATTTTTTCCAGCCTGGGGTTCAACTAGGAATCCCCTGAAATCATAGGATGGGATTTCTCAGCCCTCCATGTCCAGAACATCTGGGTTCAGTCTCTGAGATGTTGTACAGGAGGAGTCCTATATGTCCCACTTGCTAGCCCCTTTTCTGGTAGGGAAGGGAGCCTTGGAAAATCGGGAATGGAGGAGCAAAGACTGCTTAGAATAGAAGCTGCAGGCAGAGGGAAGCTAAGAACAGGAAGAATGGGTAATGTCTTTCATGGATCCCAAGAAACATGTTGGGAAAAAACTGGCTCAGCATTTATCCTGTTCACAGATAACTCTGTTTTCTACTCTTATGGGGGGAGTTAGAAAATAATAAACTTTAACTGTACTGTATACAAAAATGAAACCAAACGCTGATGTCAGTCTCTTCTTGATTCATGAGTGCATCACAATTTTCTTTAGTACTTTTTTTCCTATATATGATTACTTTCAAAAGTAAGATTCAGATGAGTTCCTTCAGGATTAATATTCAGGTTCTGAATAACAGGCTGCTAATTTAAAGTCTCATTTATGTGATCCAATAAGGAGTCCTCTACCATCAGTTGCTAATCCTTTTTCTCAGAATCATTTCCTTGGAAAGCATATTTTTGGGATCACTTTGTCCTGTTTGTCTGTCCTGGGCCTCTGTATGTAACTCAAATGGTGCTTTTAATTGTACTCAAAAGGACACATTGAATGGTATTTTTCATTTCCTACACAGCATACATTTTCCTGGAATAATCTATCAAAGCCAACACTGATTTAAAAACAGCCTCCATGATGCTTTTTGACTCACTTTCAGAGAAAAACATCTTGCCCAAACAACATTTAAGCATCCATTATGTGCAGAACTCAATTCCCAGAACTCTGAGGATGCTATAGAGAGCGCACCAAGGTTCTGAATCCACAGCAGTTTGAGGAGAGAATTCCCACCAAATGGCTTAACAGAATGCAGCATCCACTTAATGGGATACATTAGTGTTGATGTGAGTGCTGACAAGCCAACCCAGAGTTATGAGTAGCTTAGGGAAGCTTCCCAGATGTTTGTATTTAATCACTTCGGTATGAGTATCAACCATAGTCGATAGCCACAGATGAACACGCACAGCCACTTTAGCCGACAGCCGTGATACGAAGGCGCACAGCCGTGATGACTTTTATAATTTTTCATTTATCAAAATAAAATTGTGAACATTTAAAAATAATGTAATGAAAACATATTATGTATGTTACCTATTCTGATTTATGAGTAAAGCTGCCTGTAAAGTAAAACAAACTTTCAGTGCTTCTAAGCTTTCCTCATCACACAAGAGCAAAATGGACTCATCAATACACAGCACAAACTATTGTGTCGACTGTGAGTGCTGGCTGTGGGCAAGGTTTTGTGGCCGGTGAGCACCGTACCGAAGTGGTTAATGGTTCCTCTGCCCACCACTTAAATGTTGGTACTCAGAGCCATGCCTTTGCTGTCTCATGATCTCTTGCTGACCTTCCCCATATTGTGGCTTCAACTATCACTTTTTTTTTTTTTTTTGAGACAGAGTCTCGCTTTGTTGCCCAGGCTAGAGTGAGTGCCATGGCATCAGCCTAGCTCACAGCAACCTCAAACTCCTGGGCTCAAGCAATCCTTCTGCCTCAGCCTCCCGAGTAGCTGGGACTACAGGCATGAGCCACCATGCCCGGCTAATTTTTTCTATATATATTAGTTGGCCAATTGATTTCTTTCTATTTATAGTAGAGATAGGGTCTCACTCTTGCTCAGGCTGGTTTTGAACTCGTGACCTTGAGCAATCTGCCTGCCTCGGCCTCCCAGAGTGCTAGGATTACAGGCATGAGCCCGGTCCAACTATCACTTTTGTAGTGAGGTTTCAAAGACCTGCTTACCAATCTACCTAGACCCCTCCCCAGAACTTAGAAACTGTAACCTGAAAGGCGTCCTATAGGGTCAAACTAAAGCCATCCAAATGGAGTTTCTCTTGTTCCCATCCCCCTTTTTCTGGCTCAGTCTGCCCAGATGTCCAAGCCAGAAACCTTAGCACCTTTGTACATGGCTCCCATTAGTAAGCATGCATAATTTAAGGACATGGCCATCCATTCTAGCAGTGTTTCTGAGGTGCCTGCCTGTACTCCACCTGTACTCTTCCTTTTCACCTGCCTTTCATTTCTGGCATCGTTTTTTGCTTTAAACCAAAACTAGAACACAGAAGTTCATGGATCCCTTATCTTTCAATTTTGTTTGGCCTTGTGGGATCCTGCTTAAGTTGGATTTAAGTATTCAAGGGGTCTCAAGTACAAGTTACCCAGGAACTCAAGAGAAGGCAGAGCATTAAGGGCTCTGGAACCTGTGAGTTATAAAAAATAATCAGGGTGGGAAAAGCATGTGCAGGCTCTGGGCAAGCTCCATGTCTCCTTTAGGAAGAGGCTTTGCTCTAGGCAGTCTGGGTGCCACCCCTTTAAGTCCTTTTTAACATCCTGATTTCCAATTTTATTTTCTGCTGAAAAACAACACAGACACAGAAATGATATTTTATTATAGAAAAAGCATCCCAAATACAGGATTTCGTAAACACTGGTAGGTGAACAAGTGCAATTTAAAAGTAAATACAAATTAAAGAGGCAAAACCTACAAGCATTTTGCCTGTAGGAGAAAATGTAACGTCCTCCTGCAGAGGCGATCCCACCCAGAACACAAATGTGGCTCCATCTCCCACGAAGGCATCAGGTTTTGTCTGAGCTCACTACACCCATTTTAATAATTTCAAGATGATGGCAAGAAGTGGCATTGTATGTATTACTAAAAACCCTTGATTTTTAACCTTCTATTGACACTGGATTTTAAAAAAAAACCCTGCATATGAGTTAAAGCCTGTGGTCTGAATATTTGTTTTATTTAAAGAAGGATGCTTTGGAATACCACTTGCAAATACATCTATCCTTCCTGGGTTTATTCCACAGTATTTGTATAGATGTGTACATTTGATATCCCACTATTCTCTTGGGATTTAGTTTAAATAATATTGGCCACTGCATACTGTACAGTTAATCCAACGACTTTCCGTCTTCCTTCCCTTTTTTTTTTTTTTATTTTTTGGAAGGGAGGAAGGAGATGGTGGGGTTGGGGTGAGGTGAGGGCTGTCTTCCTTCCCTTTTTGCTGTCACTTTGTGTCTTTCCTCCACTGAGGAGAAACCATTAAATAACCTGACACATTTTAGCACGGTTCCCTTGCCTTCTCTCCAATTCCTCAATGGCAACGTTTCCTATCAACTATACACGATATGATGCAGACATAAACTCAAGATTCTAAACCTCAAATTCAGATTCATCTTGGCTTGCTGAGATGCTCTGAAATACTCTAGCTAAAACCATTTTCTTATGAAAATGTTTCTGTATAAACAGCCTGGCTTACTTATTTAGGCACTTAGAAAAAACACCAAACCCGAGTTCTACCTTTTTTTATTAGAGAGAAAGGCCTCTTGTCCATCTGGCCAGTAACTGACTCTGAAGGGGATGACCAAAGCCCAGCTCTTGTTCCTGTGAGGACTGAGAGGTCCTGCCATCGTGGAATGTCCTGGCCCTGGAATAGAGCAGGATTGGCCAGGAGGAGCCACCAAATTACAGTGATGCTGAGCTCCACCTTGGAGTGGAGTGAGAGTGGTGCAGAAGAAACTTCTCTCTCCACCAGAAGGAACCTGTGGTCCCAGCTTCTCCTTTAGTCACTACCACCCGGTAACAATAGCAGATATACCTTCATGGATTTCCAGCTTACACCCCATAGGTTGGGGCCAAATGCATGTTAACTCACTTTGGGGGAAAAGACCTAGTTCTTGAAAGCCTGAGGAAATTGATCGATTACATAGAACAAAGAGTCACATATATGCCATACTTTCATATCTGGCTTTTTACCTAAGCAAGGACTAATTAGTTTTAAAGTGTTAGCTGTGGCATGTTTATATTTAAATGTTAACAACACATAATCTGTATAATAGAATACACAAACATTAGATAATTCAAATTTCCATTGTAATGGCATGGAAGTCCACTGAGAAACATAAAGGAAGCACCATTTAACAATTATCTGGGCTGGCTAACTGCTAGTGGGTATGAATGTGGTGCCAGTAAGGTCAAGACCAAATCTGACCTCAAATATGAGCCAATTAGTTTCACAGAAATAAAACTTTCTTCTGGCTACAAATAACCCTAACCTTTGACCCTGGGCCATTCAGCCTTGTAAATGGATGCCAATGGTTACCAGAAGAATTCTAGGTAAAGGATGGCTCAGTTAACCCCTTACTACTAGTTTTTCTAAGTAAGCAACAGAGCTGTGATTTCCGCTGTGATGTTGGTCACATGCACAGGAAACATAAGCACACTCTTGTTCTTCAAGCCTGGAAAGAGGAGTTTTCAACACCATCTAACTTTTACCTTTGGAGGATTTTAACTAGGGCGGTCATAAAAATGGAATCAAGTAGTTTGCCCTATACAGGTTGAGCATCCCAAATCTAAAAATCCAAAATCAGAAATGCTCCAAAATCTGAAACTTTTTTGAGTGCCAACTTGATGTTCAAAAGAACTACTCCTTGGAACATTTCAGATTTTTAGATGTGCGATGTTCAACCAGCAAATATTCTGTAAATATTCCAACATCTGAAAAAATCTAAAACACTTCTGGTCCCAAGCATTTTGGATAGGGATGCTCAACCTGTATTATCTTATGCGAATGGAATTTAAGAAAAACACTCTTTCATATTGTTCATATTTTCAAAGAACTTAATGGAGACTATGTACCTCTTCACAATTTGTGATGAGTAAATACCCCAGGTATGATAGGGTATTTATGATTGGAAGGTCAACTTCTACAAAGTGAGATAATCTCAAAATACTTTTATCTGGCTCTGGACTCTAAATTTAGCTCTGCTTTAATAGAGAGAGAGGAAGAGGAAGGTGCACATGGAGTCAGTGGTCTGGGTTGTCATTTACTATACACTTAACACAGCTGACAGATCAAATGAAATGACTAGGCCTAGGCCTAATTTCCCTTCAAATCACTCTTTAGGGATGACATTAGTATCATTTTGTTACCCAGTATGTGAGCAGCTAGGCTATTTCAAAAACTGAAATATACTGATATTAAAAAAAAAAATCCATGGTATGAAAATTACATACATAGAAAAATCCTACACCAAGACAGAGCCTGTGCAGGTGATGTTTTCCACCCAGCTTCATCCCAAATACCCCCTCCCTAGAACTCTTTTAAGTCTTTCTATTGAGAAACTGAGCATTTGTGAGAAATTTCTACCCTCATCTTGAAAGCCTTTAATCCATATTTAAGGACTCCCAGTCACACCCACAGCAATACGCTGCCCAAGGGTGTCAAAACCTATGTTTACATACCAGATTCCAAGCCACAATAATCCAATTGGCCTGATTTGGAGAGGTTCTTCTACTTGAGTTGTGAGTTTCATTCCAAATGAATTATCAACTTGTTTAGGCTCAGAAACCTGAAAGCTAAAAAGGTTTCACAAACACTGATATTCCATTATCATTCCTGCCAAGGAATCTGTTTTGGATTGTTCACTGCATTAATGAGAAACAAAACTGAATTAAGCTCTTAAGAATTTCCTTCTGGACATTTTGAATGAGAGTCTAGTTCTCCCCACATGCAATCTGAGTGCACAGGCCACCAAGCATAGCATCTTCAGTAACCTCTAATGAGCATCCCATTAGTGCCTGCTTTTAGAAGACACAGATTGTCTCCTTTTAAGTTTGGTCCCTTTGCTACTAAGCAATTTGTCTGGTACAAAACAAAACAAAAAAAACAAAACTCAAGAAGAAAGTATAAATGACAAGGACTGCTTTGCTAAACACGGGGGGGAGTCCTGACTTCCTTTCCTGCTTTTGCAGTTATACAAAGACTCAGTGAACAGCACCAGATCCAAAATTTTCAAGTTACCAGGGCTGCTGCAAAGCTGGTAGCTTAATTACCAGTGAGTACTTCTTCATCCCCTGCCAGAGGCATGGACTTACTGAAAAGGACACATGTTAATTATGGGAGAAAGGAAAAGGATAGGGGAGAAGCATATCTCCTACTTTGGGTGAGACAGATCATGGGGAGGCTGGGGAGGGCTGGCTGTGGGCATCTCAGACTGAGAAGAGCTCCAGTGAGGGGTGGACCCACAGCTAGCCCTAATCCTGAAAGTCATTAGAAGCCATCTGAGAAAGTGGGGCATTTAGCCGGTCAAGTTCATCCACTTGGGGAGGGTGATGCATTAGTATCTCCTGGTCCTCCAAGACATCCTCACCAGCAGCTACCAGATTGGTGAGGGATTTGCTTCGAACACACTGGAAATCTACATGGCGACTCTTTCCTTCTTCCTTTTCCCATGACATCTGGATAAAGGGGCGTTGTACGTAATTATAGATGACTTCAGACCGGCCACCAGGTCTTCTCTTAATTTTTTCTTTACAGGTAGGGTAACCTGAAGCAGAGAAAAAGGCCATTCTCATAACTGGCAGATTGTGCTCACTCTGGTGTCCTCCCTAGCCACATCATTTTTTTCCAAATCCATAGACAGCATGAAAAACGATGTGAGAAGTGTCCAATCCCTACCCCATGCTTTCCCAGCCCCAACCACCTTCATGCTCACTTCCCTCCTGCTAAGGTTAGTTGGTATTGTCCCTAGAAGGGACTAATCTAAGAGAAGTAACAAGAATTCTATCCCTTCTAATGGAAGAGGGAGAGAAGCCTTTTTACTAATTCAGGAACCTTTAGTTGCTGGCAACAATCACCATAGGACAAAAATTCTGCCAGTGCATGGCTACTCTAGTCCTCTTAATTCTGTTGCTTAGAGGGCACACTGTATGAGAAACAGTTAAGGAAATGTGGAATGTTTAGCCTAAAGAAAAAACAGGGATGCTGCCTAAAATACCTAAAAGACTCTCACGTGGAAACGGGAGAAATTTCATTCAACATAGTTTCGGAAGCTACAGGCAGGAGGCAGTTACCCATCAGATGTATGGAAAAGGTTCTGATCCCTATTCATTATATTCCTAGAGTGTCCCAAGAGGTAAGAGAAAGATATAGGGGAAGGAGTTTTAATAGACAATCTCAAAATTTTCCTCCCACTTTAAATTTCAGTCTAAGTCAGACACAATGAAGGTTTGATGGGTTCTGTGGGCAGAAGTGAGGCAGCAAGAGCAGTGAAAAACAAGAGTCAAAGATCCATGGAGGGGAGACCAGGATGGCTTCAGGACTCTCCAAGAATCAGTCTCTGAGACCCTCCCATGGGGACCACAGGTTAGGAGCCACTGCTCAAGATCATTTTAAGTAGTTCTGTCAGTATAACCAGACATTCTTCAAAGGTATGCAATAATCTTAAATTTTGAATCTCCAAGCTGTATTTTTCAGAATGACCCTTCCAGATCCCAGAAACATCCTCACAAAGATTGCTGGCAGAATGATCCTACCACTTGGTGAGCCCACAAGCCCTGCTACATCTGTCTACTAGCGTCCTCTGCCTTCACTGCTCTTTATCCTGGAAGTAGTAAGCTTGAACCTAATGCTGTGGTTGTTTTAAAGAATTTGCAACTGGAGATAAAATAAAAAGGAAATATGAGGATAAAAACAAAAACAGGAATCCTTCACATTTGAGTAGGAATGTGATTTTCATGTATGTCTATTCTCTAGGCCCTCTGGAAGCTGAATTTCCAACCTACTCCATAAGCATGCAACCTGGACACTGACTGACTGGGATTTTTTTTTTTTACCTTCAATTCCAATGCGAATGTTTTTCAGGCCTCGTTCCTTTAACACTGTTTTTGCAACATCCCGATTCTCAATATATTTGAAGAATCTGTAGAGCTTGGAGCTATAAAGAACTGAAAAAGAAAAAACTTAGGGTTAGTCATGGTGTGAAGACCTTGGTAAAGAGGAAGGAGATAAGCTAATAGATTCAAACGAATGGAAAGTATACTTGACCTTTCATGTCAGAATATCCAGATGGATCAAAGATTAAACGTCAAATAATACATAAACCATAAGAGAAATTTTATAATCTTAGGGTAGAAATGGCCTTTCTGGATATGACATAAAATCTAGAAGTCATTAAAGAAAAACTGATGTCTATATAGAAATAACATCTCTGTACAGCTCAAACCACCATCTAACAAAGCTAAAAAAAAAAAAACCAAACAGGAAAACTATTTGCAACTCATATTACAAAGGGCTAATTTCCTTAATAGAAAGGGTTGTCACAAATAGAGAACAAATCACTAAATATAAAAGACTAATAATCCAGTTTTGTGATAGGTAATAGGCATAGTGTTAACAGAAAAGGAAATTAGAATGGTTCTTAAAAATTAAAAAGATGTTCAACCCATTCATGAAATGAGAAATGCAAATTAAAACTCATGCTGATCATGAGATAGTTTTTTTTTAACCTATTGGAAAGTAGTAAAGATAAAAGTTTTTAAAACATGCCAGGTGCGGTGGCTAACGCCTATAATCCTAGCACTCTGGGAGGCTGAGGCAAGAGGATCACTCGAGGTCAGGAGTTCAAGACCAGCCTGCGCAAGAGGAAGACCCTCAACTCTACTAAAAATAGAAAAAATGAGCCGGGCATGGTGGCGCTCACCTGTAGTCCCAGCTACTGGGAGGCTGAGGCAGGAGGATCGCTTGAGCCCAGGAGTTTGAGGTTGCTGTGAGCTAGGCTGATGCCACAGCAAGTTTTTAAAACAGTTTTGGAGACAGTGTGGGAAACAAACTTGCCATATATTGTTTTGTGAGTATAGATTGGTATAATCTTTATGGAGGATAATTTGGCAATGTCTATCAAAATTATAAAGGCACAAAGCTTTTGACATATTCTGTAGAGATACATACATACATGAAAAGATTGTGTTTAAAAAGATATTCATGGCAGTATCATAATTTATAGCTTACATGTCCAACAACAGGGCCAGTTAAATCAGTTATGGCACATTTGTGTAACAGGATACTTATACAGCCATAAAAAAGAATGTGGAAGATTTTTATGTAAGAAAGGGTACAGAATAGTCTGTATAATACTGTATCATTTGAAAAAAAGGGGAAAAATTGTTCATGTATGTGCGCTGAATATATTTGGAAGGGTATAAAAGAAACTGAAGAGAAATATATATAGAAAAAATTAGCCGGGCATGGTGGCGCATGCCTGTAGTCCCAGCTACTTGGGAGGCTGAGGCAGCAGGATTGCTTGAGCCCAGGAGTTTGAGGTGAGCGAGCTGATCCATGGCACTCACTCTAGCCTGGCAACAAATGAGACCTGTCTCAAAAAAAAAAAAAATGAAGGGGAGGGTGCATTTTTCATTGGACTTAGTTCTTAGCATTTTTGGAAATCACTGTTATATATATTTTTCATGAAACCTAGTTTGATGTGGGTATTACATAGGCACTCAGTAAATATTTTTTGCTTGATTTAATCTGATTAATGATTTAATGAATGTGAGATCTCAAATAACTGTCTATAACAGCTGTGCTTTGAATTTCAACGGTTTAAGTACATAATCAGGATTGACTTCAAGAAAATATTTTAGTGAACAAGCTATTGTATATTAGTGTAGAATGTTCGTAAGATTTCTGTATGTAACTGTCAGTATTTCTTACTTAGATAATAAAGTGTTTCCTTCTTGTTTGCTGCTATATAACCTTGCACAGTGCTTGGCATCAAAACATAATTACTGAAAGCATAATCTAGTATGATGTCCACCCAATATTATACAGCTTACCCCTATTCTTCATGCCTGGAAATAGCCATATAGCCACCGTTTTATTTTTACAGTAGAAGATGGCTTTTTGCCTCATCTGGGTTTCTTTTTGAGGTCCATTCTTCGGCAGCCAATAAATTACAGTTATGTGCTACATAATGATGTTTCAGTCAACAGTGGACCTCATATATAATGGTGCCATAAGATAAAAAATAAATAAAAATAAAATAAATAAAAATAAAAAAAAAAGAAACTGAAGAGGAAAATTTGGGGAGATGGGGCGGGGTGGGAACAAAACTTCTTAATGTATATCCTTTTATTCTTTTGATTTTGAATTATTACCAATTCAAAAGTTTAAAACATGAAATGAGGCCAGGCACAGTGCTCACCGTAATCCTAGCTCTAGGAGGCCGAGGTGGCGGATTGCTCAAGTCAGGAGTTCGAAACCAGCCTGAGCAAGAGTGAGACCCATCTCTACTATAAATAATATTAATTGGCCAACTATTATAATTATATATACTACTTATAATTATATATAATAATATATTATTCTAAATATTTATAGAAAAATTAGGCTGGAATGATGTGTTTCCTGTATCCCAGGCTTACTCCAGGAGCTGAGCAGGAGGACCCTGTAGACCAGGAGATTGAGGTTGCTGTGAGCTAGGCTGACACCATGGCACTCACTCTAGCCTGGGCAACAAAGCGAGACTCTGTCTCAAAAAAAATAAAATAAAAATAAAAATGAAACGAATGAAAAGAAGAACGACACACCATTTAATGTGCTGCCTCAGTATTTGACACAGTACTAGACACCAGGGGTAAGAGTGAACAGTTTAACCAAATTCACTATCTTCCCCAGCATGACAGTTAGACCTGCATCACTAGGGGTTTATCATCCAGGTGAATGTGCTCATCATGGACTCAACAGTGATATTCATATTGGTTCTAAGATCTAGCTGCTACCCTGGGCAGCGTGTTTCTTGCTGAAAATATCTACACCATGCAGGGTGCTCCTACTTTGGGAATATTCCTCCCCCATGGGTGGAGGATGGTCTTCATCCCAGTCCACAGAATCCTCATCTGTCAGCACAACAATGTGGCACTCTCGCTCCCCTTTCTTGGCACAGCCCACCATGATGGGCAAGATCAGCTCTTCGAGGTAGTGATCAAACTGCTTATGAGCACCATCGTTAGACAGTTCATGCAGTAAAGCACCTGGGGAGAGAAAATGCAGGTGAGCACGCTATCTGTCCAAATACAAATATTACTTGAGTGAAGAATATTCAGCCGGGCATGGTGACTCACGCCTGTAATCCTAGCACTCTGGCAGGCTGAGGTGGGAGGATTGCTTGCGCTCAGGAGTTCAAGACCAACCTGAGCAAGAGCGAGACCCCGTCTCTACTAAAAATAGAAAGAAATTAGGTGGACAACTAAAAATACATAGAAAAACTATGGCATGGTGGCCAGGCATGGTGGTGTGTGCCTGTAGTCCCAGCTAGCCAGGAAGCTGAGGCAGGAGGATCGCTTGAGCCCAGGAGTTTGAGGTAGTTGTGAGCTAGGCTAATGCCACGGCACTCTAGTCCAGGCAAGAGAGTGAGACTCTGTCTCAAAAAAAAGAATACTGATGAAGTAATGGCTGTTATCATTAATAAGGTCAGAGAAGTAGCACATTTAAAGGCAAAGACTGTTTCCTGCCAATGATGATAATTAAACTGACCTTGTTAATTCGTGTTTTATATTATATCACTCTTCAATTTACTCATGTTTAATAATCCTTGAGCATTCTGATCAATTGAAGTTCTGTTGGACATACAGTGTCATATCATAGATGTTAATTCTACAAGACATGGAACCATACTCTGGACCCTTATTTCATGGAGTTAGAGTACTACTGTAGAGGAATAATCGGAATTTTAGTGACACCGAAACACTTACTCTAAGTATGTACCAGACCTAGTATAGAAATCACAAGTCCAGAGGTCTTTATGTAACATGTAGGGAAATGCATCATGAAATTCAAAGAGTAAATCTTTAAATAATTTCAGGAAGCCTGGGTAATGATAAGAGCATGGAGTTTGTAGTCAGACAATCTGACTAGTTCTAATCCTAGCTTTAATGCTTAGCTTTGAACAAGCTTAATTTCTCAGTTTTCTCATTTGTTAAATGAGGTTATCACCCATCTTTTAGGGTTACCTTACAAGCTCCACATCTATAAAGCACTTAGAAAACACTAAGTTAATTAATAATGATAAAAATAATGGTAAGAACCACCCAACCAATCTATGCTGTTTGATTTTATTAGTGAGCCTTTTCTCCTGTTGGACAATCAGTATCCTTGTCTGTTAGAGTTGAGACACCAAAGTCCCAAGAGAGAGCAGTGAACTTGGTCACTCACTGATAAGCTAGATTTAGAACCTACTACCCATTTTCCTGTTTATTCCACTTCCTCCTAGTGCTTTGAAGCAAGAGAGGGAATAGGTTAATTAGTATCACATTTTTGCCTCTGTCGATAATTTTCAACCCACACTTGAAACTCTTGTTTAGTAATAAAAAGTATCAGTTATTTCCACCAAACTCAAAGTTCAGCAACTCTAGTGCAGATGGCAGCTACTCCTGTACTTACTCAGATCCTGACATCGGATAGTGTTGAAGTCAAAATTAATGCAGAGATAATCGCATGTATCTCTAAGGTCTGGGATAGAGATGCCATCAGGACAATTAATGATACCAGTTTTGTAATAATCCTGTAAACAGATTAGGAAGAAGAAATGTAGGCAAAGAACGAGATAAAAAATTACTTGTTTATCCCTATTCATTCTTGGTTCTGTTAAAGCAATGGGTTACTGCAGTTATCACCAAGTTGAATGATTTGCTAGATGGCAAAGCAGCTCCTGGCTATCCTGACATGTTTAATCAGACTTGGTAACTGATTGAACTCGCACAAGCACGACAGACTTAAAAGTTACAGGAATAAAGAGGACAAAGAAACAACTTGAAACCACAGACCCTAAAGTCAGTAACGTAGTTGAATTCCAAGGCCACTGACCATGCATGTCTCTGGGGAAGAGGATGTAACAAAAAAGGCTTCTTTCTACATACCAGCACGGTACGAAATACAGTCGCACTGATTCCTTCGGCAATTTCGTACTCTCCCTTCTCATTGGGCCGTGTGAAGTTGTATTCTCTTCCTGGCCCAAACATCCTGAAAGACAACCAGGCAGCAATGTTACCTTTTGCAGGCAGGATTCTTCACCACTGAGACTTCTCGCTTCTTCACTCATTCTGGAAGACCACATTCCACTCTCTTATAGTGTAAGACAGAAACACAGCACTGGGACCCTATGCCTATAAGACAACTTAAGTCTTAGGAAACTCCCTTCAGAAAACAAAAGATAGCAATTGCCTTAAACATTTGTGTGCAAAGAGAAATGAAGCAGCAAGTCTACAGGTTCATCTGTAGTGAGTTTCTTTGGCAGCAAATGCAGTAAAAACAGCAACTGCGGAGGCAGCCACTGGAAAACATGACAGCTCAGGAAGACAGCATCTCTGCTCCTGACCATTCCTGTTTCTTCCCCTCCTCTATTAAGTTACCTATCCAGTATGCCATTCCTCAATATTTCTGAGTTTTGCTTTTCAGCATCTAATCTGACAGACAACCCGTATTTTAGGCTATGTTAATACTTTCCCTTTCCTATTATGTCTTAATAGTGGAGCCCTGGAAAAAAATGGCCTTACTCCATCTAAGGAGTAACTCTGACAATGGGACTTTCAGGTCAAGTAGAAAAGCCTAGTAAGTATTAGGCTCATCCGCAGTTTGACATGTTTCAGAGAGACAGGTCTGCTCTTGGCATGAACTCAGAAGTCATGAGAGTATAGGGAGGGGGCTTGCTTTTCTTATTCACCTCTTCCATCCTTCCTCCCTTCAGCTAGATCTCCACCAGTCTAACTGACCTTATGTTTTCTGCTCCTGCTGGACTTTTGCATATGAGCTGTGGAATGGGAAGACAGCACAAAGGACAGGGCAGGCTGTCGCTATCTTCAGCCAGCCTGATTCGATTTCCCAGTGGGAACTCACTGCCATTTTCTTCCTTAACATGCTGGGGAGCGCTGCTGTTCACAACTCGTATCCTCCACCCTCAACTGGCTGCTTTTCAAAGGTCTAAAAATGATTCCATATCACATGCTTTCCAAATCATTTTACCATGCATAAGAAATCCATCCTGATAAAAGTAGCCTCCAAAGAATGCTGACTTTTTTTCTAGAACACTGGTTGAAGTCTAGCTGAGAGAGCTATGAATCAAAATAGTGAACAACATGTTGGAAATATAATTCCTTCTATCATCAGTAGAACTTAAGCTCAGAGATATTTATTTAGTAGTGGCATGGATTTTCATTAATCCATTCTCATTCTCAGCTTGTGACTAGTGGCCCACATCTGTAAGCTCACTGGCAAGGCTTATGTATGAGTACTGTATGTAACCACAGGACAGGTAGCCACAAGACAGAACAAACCTAACTCACAGAATTTGTGACCTTGGCCTACTCAGCTGAATGAACCACCTAGATAAAGAACCAGACTCTCCTCTTCATGGGACAACCCATTCCTAGATTCAAAGAACCAGTGTCACCTGAGAATCTATTACCCAGAAAATGCTTGCCTTTCTTCTCTTATGCACTATTTTCAAAGGCAACATATCTAAAAGAGCCAGCCTACACTGAGGAACACGTTTTTTGGGGGTGGAGGGGAGCAGGGAGGGCAGGCAATGGTGGAGATACCAAAACTAAGAACAGGAAGTCAAGCCTGATAAAATAAAGGGCCAATTACAAATGATGATGTTTCATTCAACAGGTGGACTCGTTATATAAGGGTGGGCCCCAAGGATTAAAAAATAATAAATAAATAAATAAAATTATAAAAAAAAAAGAAACTGGAAGGAGGAAAATTTTTGGGGCGAGATTTTGGGGCGGAGGGTGGGAACAAAACTTCTTAATGTATATCCTTTGTATTCTTTTTGAATTTTGAATTATTACCAATTCAAAAGGATTTAAAAATGAAATTGGAGGCCAGGCACAAGGTTGGCTCACGGCCTGGGCTAATTCCTAGCTTCTCTAGGAGGGACCGGGGAGGGGTGGTTTGGGCGGATTGGCTTCAAGGTCAGGAGTTCGAAACCAGCCTGAGCAAGAGTTGGAGACCCACGCGTCTCTTACTATAAAGTAGCAAATTAATGTGGCCAAGAACTAAATATATACTTTATATATATAATATATAAGTTTTCTAATATAGTTTATAGAAAAAATTTAGCTGGAATATGGTGTATTGCCTGTTTTTTTTTCTAGTCCCAGCACTCAGGGACTGAGGGCAGGAGGATTCCCCCTTGGAGACCAGCAGATTTGGAGGGTTGCTGCTGATGCGGGAGGCTGACACCAATTTGGCACTCTACTCTAGCCTGGGACAAGCGAGACTCTGGTTTCATCAAAAAAAAAAAATAAAAATAAAAATGAGATGAATGAAAAGGAAGAACGACACACCATTTAATAGTTGCTTGCCTCAGTATTGACACAGTACTAGACACAGGGCGTAAGAGGGTGAACAGTTTAAGCCAAAATTCACTATCTTCCCCAGCATGAACAGGTTAGACCTGCATCACTAGGGTTTATCATCCAGGTGAATGTGCTCACCCCATCGACCTCAACAGTTTGATATTCATATGGGTTTCTAAGATCTTAGTCTGCCTACCCCTGGGCAGCGTGGTGTTTTCTTTGCTAGAAAACTATCTACACCATGCAGGGCAGCCTTTCCTACTTGGGATATATCCTCCCCCATTGGGTGGTGAGGGATGCGTCTTCATCCAGTCCACAGAATCCTCATCGGTCAGCACAAAACAATGCTGCACTTCTCGGCTCTTTCTTTGGCACAGTCCACCATGATGGGCAAGATTCAGCTCTTCGAGGTAGTGGGATCAAACTGCTTATGGAGCACCATCGTAGGACAGTTCATGGCAGTAAAGGCAAACCTGGGGAGAGAAAATGCAGGTGAGCACGGCTATCTGTTCCAAATACAAATATTTAGCTCCATGGAGTTGAAGAATATTTTCAGGCCGGGCATGCGTGGACCTCACGCCTGTAATCCTAGCCACTCTGGGCATGGCTGGGGAGCGTTGGGAGGGATTGCTTGCGCTCAGGGAGTTTCAGACCAACCTGGCAGCAAGAGCGGAGACCCGGCGTCTCTTACTAAAAATAAGAAAGAAATTTTAGCTGGGACGACTAAAAATACAAGGGGAAAAAAAACTATTGCATTTTGGTGGCCAGGGACCGGATGGTGGTGTGTTGCCTGTAGGTCCCAGCTAGACAGGAAGCTGGAGGCATGGAGTATTCGCTTGAGGCCAGGACCGTTTGGAGGTAGTGTTGTGAGCTTAGGGCTGAATGCCACGGGCACTCTAGTCCAGGGCAAGAGAGGAGTGCAGACTCTGTTCTCAAAAAAAGGAGAAAAATTTTACAAAATGATGAAAGTAATGGCTGTTATCTTAATAAGGTCAGAGAAGGTTAGCGACATGTTTAAAGGCAAAGACTGTTTCGCCTGCCAATGATGATAATAAACTGCCTTTGTTAATTCGTTGTGTTTATATTATGATCACTCTTCAATTTACTCATGTTTTAATAATCCTTGAGGCATGTCTGATCATTGAAGTTCTGTTGCGACATACAGTGTCATATACATAGATGTTTATTCTACAAGACGACTGGAAACCATAACTCTTGGACCCTTATTTCATGGACGTTAGCAGTACTACCGTAGAGGAATAATTCGAATTTTTAGTGACACGAAACATTACTCTAAGTATGTAACCAGACTATGCTATAGAAATCACATAGTCCAGAGGTCTTTATGTAACATGGTTAGGGGAAATGCATATCATGAAATCCAAAGAGTAATCTCTTAAATAATTTCAGGAAGCCTGGGTAATGATTAAGAGCCATGGGAGTTGTTTGTAGTCAGACAATCTGACTGTTCTAATCCTAGCTTTAATGCTTAGCTTTGAACAAGCTTGTAATTCTCGTTTTTGTTTTGTTAAATGAGGGTTTATCACCCATCTTTTTTTAGGTGTACCTACAAGCTTCCACATCTATTAAAGCACTTAGAAAATCACTAAGTTATTATAATTTGGATAAAAATAATGGTAAGAACCACGCAACCACATCCTATGCTGTTTGATTTTATTATTGAGCCTTTCCTCCTGGGTTGCGACAGATCAGTATCCTTGTCTGTTAGGAGTTAGACACCAAGCACCCCAACGCGCATAATCAGGATTGACTTCAAAGAAAATTCATTTTAGTGAACAAGCTATTTGTATATTAGTGTAGAAAGTTTCGTAAAGATTTTCTGTAGTGTAACTGTCAGTATTTCTTAGCTTAGATAATAAAGTGTTTCCTCTTGTTTGCTGCTATATAACCTTGCACAGTGCTTGGCAGTCAAAACATAATTACTGAAAGCATAATCTAGTAAGATGTCCCACCCAAGTATTTATACAGCTTACCCCTATTCTTCATGCCTGGGAAATAGCCATATGAGCCACCGTTTTATTTTTACAGTAGAAGATGGCTTTTTGCCTCATCTGGGTTTCATTTTGTGAGGTCCATTCTTCGGCAGCCAATAAATTACAGTTATGTGCT